CGAAGGATGATTGGATGCCCACGCATATGTACGTGTGTTTGTATGTTTATAAAGTTGTTGTATTTCAGCTTTAGGAGATTTTGTGTGAGGTTTTACAAAAATTTGGGAGAAAATCTCTCTTCAAGGAATTTCATAAAAAATTTACATTTTGCATGTGAAAGGAGCATAACGAAAAGCAAACTGTGTGCACTTATAGATATATACATTCATTGAAAATATTTTAATTTTCATAACATTGCGAATAAAAAAAGTTACTTTGTAAGGCGACTGCGGTGCTATTTCTCAGTGGCCCGCAAAACGCCAACGAATGACCATTTCGTTTTGGTTTTTAAACTTGAAGACTATGTAGTCAGAAAATTAGAAAGAAGCGAGTTAGAGCGTTCTAGAATAGGCGAAAGCTGTTCTATAGGCTTGAAAGGTTATGTTCACCATTTTTGTTGATAAATAAACAGAATTTTTCCTTTTTTGGTTTTTGCCGTTTCCGATAGGGTGAGTGTAAACTTTAAACTTTAAACTTTAAACTTTAAACTTTAAACTTTCGACGTCATTGACAAAGAAAATATTACTTTTTATCTGAAAAATGACGTTCCATTTCAGTGAAGACAATGGCCAAACAATACGAACCCTCTCTCTTCTGCAGGTTTGACCATCCGTCCATTATTATTTCTTTCAGAAGATGTTAAACTCTTCCACTGATTAGGGTTGTCTTTTTTCCAATATAGGAGTTAAAGTGAAAACACCGTCATTATTTGTGGAGTTCGCGGAAGAATACATTATGAAATGCATAATTCGATTGGAATATTTACAAAATGTAAGTCTTTTCTCTTTATTCATTGCTTTTGAATATAGTTATGAGTAAAGGCTCCTGCGCTAGTATCTTCCTCGGCTTTCGAGATATCTGCATAAAACCTTTGGGCGTTGACCTAAAAGATATTTTCTAAGTTTATCTGGTTGGCCTTTACCAATTTTCTTAGAAATTTACCTAATAAAAGAGAAAAAGTTTCGACTCGATTTTAATGGAAATGTAATGTAATGTGTAATATATTTAATTTTCGGGTTCCGGTCTTGATTAAAAACTAACAGGGTAATTCTGGTAACTGTCTTTCAATTCACCACAGTCTTTCGAAAGACAAAAGTAAATTAAAAAAGGAAAAAATGAAAATAGAGCAAAAATAAGTGGAAATAGTTTTAAAAATGAAATTAAAAAAAGAAACAAAGGAAAATAGTACTTAAAAGTAAAATACAAAAAAAAAAAAAACAATTGGATACTAAAAACTAAGTGAAATAAAAAAAGATTTCTTTTTAAAACAATGACATCCAAAAAACTAAAAGAAAATAAAATCAAGGTAAAAAAAAACAAATAAATGTTGAGCTTTGTATCACGATTTGTTTGTTAGCAAAAATGAAAAAAACCACAAAGTCTAAGCGGTAGAAGTTATAGCTGCTATTTCGGAGATCACCACATCTCCTCATCAGACTTCTTTTTTCTAGACTTCAGCAGGGATCGAACCCGCATCATCGATGTGCAAAGTAAGAAGCGTTTACCGTTCAGCTATGCGCACCCCAAACAAATCGTGGTACAAATTCCAATAATACTACTGGAATAAACATTAATACGCCACAATAAAGATAACAAATAAATTAAATAGCTTTCTAAAAAGTAAATGAAAAACAATATTTTTTTTCAACAACAAAAACTAAAAAATAATGGAAATTAAACTGAAAAAACAGAAATTTGATTTAGTAAAGAAAAAATAAAAAGGTTCCTTAAAATTAAATGAAATTAAAAAAATATGTTTTTCTTTTTTAGGAGAAAAAATTAAAAAATTAAAAAGAAATAGGTTCCTAAAAATGAAATGAAATTAAAACAAATATTCTTCTTTTTAAAAGAATAACATAGAAAATATACATGAAATAAATTTCTAAAAATTAAATGAAATTAAAAAATATGTATTTTGCTTTTTAAAACAATAAAATCTAAACACTGAAAGAACGTTATAACAAAAGGAAAGAAAGAAAAACATCCACTGACCGAGCGCTCGAACTCGGATCTCTCAAATGGCACGCATGTGGTTTACTCACTCGGCCATTGCGACTGTTGGGTCGACGCGAGCTAATTTATATATTTACAAGTGCTGGCTCTCAAAATAGCTTTTCACTACGAGTGGTGAATGAGAGAGATTTTTTTTAGGACTTTTGTGCTAGAATAACTACAGTCATTTGAACTATCTTGCCATCTGTCTTTCATTTATCTTACGAAAGACTTTTTACTATCTTAGCCATAATTATCCTCTAAGGATTTCTCTACAAATGTTTGCACAATGATGTGAGAATAGACGATTGTAAAAAATCGGAGATATTTAAGACATTAATCTAAGTGAGTTTTTTATATGAACGCAATCGCCAAAATAAGCTATAAATACGAATTCTGGGAGCCCTTCCTTTTGACTCTCTAAAAAATGAATAATTGATATTCAACTTTTTCAAAAGAAGCTACAGTATGTGCTAAATCCGGCTGCGTGGTATGCAGATATTCTATTCACTGAGATTGACTAGAGACTTCAAGACTTCGAATGAAATGCGTTGCCACATAATTAGATAACTTTTGTTATACACAAGATTCAACAGATCCTTAAGATTTGACATGTCATGGTCACTAAAAAGATTTGTTGTTGGCAGTCGGTCAAATGATATTACATAGCTCAGTTTAAAGTTGCAGTAATCTTAGAATGTAATCTTTTTATTGTGCTTGATAATTATTCCGGTTTTTAATTCTCGTTTAAACTATTTTAGTAATACTGAAAGCCGAAAAAATTAAATATGCATTTATCAACAGATCGTGGTATCTAGAATACCTACTGTACTTAAATACATACATGTATGTATGTATGTAGCTATGTTAATGCATTTTATTTCTTCAAATCACACGCTTTACACCTGCTATTTATCTGTGGGCGCCCACTTGTAGCGCAAATCAAAAAAAGGAAAATTCAAAAAATCCCATGACAACCAAACGGGAAGGACAAGCGGCAATCTCGGCAAGCCTGCAGTATTTTTTCACAAACTATCATTATTTTACTTTATCTGCAAATGAAGCGGGGGAAATAAATCAGGTAGGCGAACATTCGATCGCGCGGCAAAGGTAGGCTATTGCACCGGTGGACGACAACACTGAACCGCCGGATACGAGGCGGAACGAAATGCGCGCCGCCAATGGATTGCTTTGCATTGATTGCCGTATTAATTTCACCTAGAGCAACAACAACAACAACATCAACGACAAATGCAACATTGATAATAAAACAAGCATGCCAAAGGGTTTAACGGCAACAGCGGCAATAAAAACAACAACAACAGCGGCAACGATAACGACACCACAATGTCGCAATGGATTCAATGACATTACGCGTCAGTGTGGCATGAATGGACACGGCAAGGTGGACCAGGTTGATGGTGGACGACGGACAAGGTGGTAGGGGCAGGTGAGCGTGGTGCTCTACTTAAAGTTACACAGCGGCATATATGTACAAATATTTATACATATGTATATTTTTATTTTTATATTTTGCATTTATTGAAATATATACTCATCTCGTATAAGATTTATTTGTATGCAACCGAAAAAGGGTAACAAAAGTGAAGGCGACACAGATTCCGCTGTCAAGTTGCAACAGTAAGCAGCGCAAGCGCAAGCGCGTAATGCTTGCGCAGTTATGCAATAGCCAGCCGCCAGCATTCAGCAGGCAATTACAGCAGCAGCAGCGGCAGTTGTGTGGCCGTAGCGAAACGAAAGACTTTGGCAACGAACTTTAATGCGCAAAGGAAGTGACGTTGATATGCGTTGCAGTGCAACGGTTGAGGAGGTAAAGGGAACGGTTGCGGATTGGAGTGACATGCGGAGGAGTGTAAGGTGGCGCAGACCGAGTTGAAGTGGGACGCGCTGTTGCTGCCGCTGCAGCTGATGCTGATGTGTAGAATGGCGTGAAGTGCGTGTAGGAATCGTAGTCGTAGATGATGTTGTTGTATTGGTAGTGGCAGTTGCCTGCATAGCTGTCACTTACCGCTTACGCAATAATATTTATATGCAACACATACTCTTCTTTTTTTTTCTTGTGGTTTTGAATTTTAATTCTTCTTGCACTGTGACAGACTTTTAGTTTTAATTGTACGATTGCGCGTGCGCCCGTGTGTGTGTGTCTGTGTGCGAGCGCTCGTATGCGTTTGCTGCATGTCAATCAAATCAAAAAACTCACTGCCTCTCCCAGCAACAACAGATGTAACAGAAGACATAGCGGCTGGCATACAGTTAGGAGCGGCAGGCGGCATTTGGCGAATGCGTGTCAGTTATTTGGCCGCTACTTGCCACGGACATTCACATTTGCAGCTGTCAAAAATTTTAATTAAAAACTTGTAAACACATACTACTGTAAAGCGCGAGCGCACGCACACACGCACAAACACATTGAGAGACAGGGGCAGACGGACTTACAGTTGCGCATGCGAAATTGCGTTTTATAATCCTTTTGAGCGACGCTGATGACTAAATGACAGCCAAATCGGATGTATCTAGCTGTATATATAAAATATATGCATACATATGTGTGTATGTACATATATATGCGTAAGTGTTGGCGCGTATCAGCGGCGACGCACCCTTCATGCCTTCATGCCACACCATCGGTCAGTTTGTGCGCGTCGTGTTACCTGCCACTTGGCATTGATTGACGCCTACCGAAACTGTCACTGAGTGCCAAGTACCAGTCATCAGTCACTGGCTGCTAGCTTTTGAGCTTTTTGCTGCTGCATTTTTTTCGTTATCTTTTTTGTTGCTTTGTTTGCATGGTAACCATGATTAAATATTATGTATAATCCTGTTGGTGCTGCTGTTGCACGCATATTGCCGTTGGCGGACATTGGCACTTGTTGCATGCTGCATATGACTTTGATTACGGCAAGTTGCGTACATACATATTTGAGTCATTTATTTGGAGTTCACTTACCTTATCGCAGAAGACCTTAATTTGGCAGTAGCCTCGATGGAAGACTTGAACATCGCGCGGATCCTCGAATGTGTCGATTTGAACGTGCAATGGCAGACCCTGGAAAGGGAAAAGAAAAAAACAAAAATGTAGTACACATTTTGATAAAATTATGGATTTTAAAGTTAAAAGAAGCTGGTTTTTCTAATAGCATTGGCCCCTTGGCAGATAATGGCAAACGTTCGAGCGTATTTCTGCCATAAAAAAAATATTCTCATTAAAACCGTTTGTCGTTCGGAGGCGAAGTAAAATTGTAGGTCGCTCCATTTGTGCAACAAATGTGAAAACGCCAAATATTTATTTATGAATTTTTATAGAAAAAAAACTATCGAATAAAAAAAATAAATAAATAAAAAACGTTTGATCAAAAATTTAAAATAGTAATTAAAATAAAAAAAAATGAAAGTTATAAAAAAATGTACCAAAATAAATAAAAATGAAGTAAAAAAAAGTAAAAAAAGTAAAAATAAAACAAAAGAAAAATTTAGGAAATACAATTAATTGAATAATAATGAACTAAAAAATGCGATAAGATATAAAATGATGTTTGCAATAAGAATAATATATAAAACGAAATTAATATAAAACAAAGTAAAATAAAACAAAACCAAATAAGAATTAATTAATTAAAATAAAGTAAAAAAAATAAAGTAAAATCAATAAAAATTACAACAAAAAAATAATAAAAAAATGTAAAATTTATTGAATTAAAAACTTAAAAAATTAAAAATTTAAAAATAAAATAAATAAAACGAAATAAAATAAAGTTAAGCAAAACAAAAACTAAACTGCAACAAAGGAAATAAAAACAAAATTTAAAAAGAAAATTAATGAAATATTAAAAAGTTTAATTCAAATAAAATAAAGTAAGCAAAATAAAATAAAACACAAAAAATTTAAATAAAAGCAGAACACAGTAAATTAAAAAAATTTAAATTGAAAATTAAAAGCGAGTTTCATTAAATAATTAAAACAAGTAAATTAAGAAATGATACAGCCGATTTCAATGCTCATATAAAAATGAATTTTATACACACAAAAATCGATATATTCGCGAAGCAAGGGGCATTTTTATTTTGAGGTTTTCTCTCTGAAGTCAGATTTTTTTTAAGTCACCTAGTTACCTCGACCAGAACGATCTACTGTAACAAACCCCTATTTGGCTAAAAGTGTTCTTTGGTCAACTTGTTGTTAAGAAATCCTCGCGGGGTCTTTTGACTGAATACCATTTTGGCCGTGTACTTCTAGGTACGGTGAGGGGAAGTCTGGTCCTAGTTAGGGCTTCACAGTGGCTCATAATTTTACCAGCTAATTAATGCCTACACTGTTCAGAGTTAACAAGTCCTATATATGACAAGTGTTCTATTATTCTACAGTGGCCAGTAAGAAAACCTGTAGCAATTCGAATTTCATGCTTACTACTGCCATTTTGATATATCCGGATATAGTTTCACTTAACGTAGTATTAAAAGCTGAAGGCACTCCCACATCAGCTTTGAACTGACCTCGTAGGCTTTATAGCGAGGAGCACCGCTCTGCTATCCGAGTGTATGTAGATGTGTTCGATGGTTGCCCCATTTTCTATATACTGCCACAGACATAGCTCAATGGCATGTACTTCGACTTGAAAGGCAGAGTTACCTTGCCCCATGCTGGTGAAAAGAAGCCTTCAGGGTTCTAAGCCGTAAACTCCTGCTCCGACATCGTTGCCAGTCTTGGAGTAGTCAGTATACCAGATGTGGCTATCCTTTCGCGGTTTAGGTCGTTCATTGTCTCAGTTGTATCTGTCGGGGAAAAGGACCTTCAAATTTTGTGTTAAGTTTAATCTCGGAGGGCACAGGTCCCCAAAGTAAATGCACAACCCGCCTTCTTGTTCTATAACCCTAAGGGAAGGAAGGTGTATGAGCTTCTTGTCTTCCACCATGTCCCCTGAGATGGGGTTTGCTGTAAACAAAAGGGCCCCTTTCTTGAATACAATGTGTAGAAGAGGTAGGTAAAGAAGCACCTCGAGAGCCGAAGTTGGTGTTGATCTCATTGCGCCAGTGATATACAAGCAGGCCAGTCGTTGTAGCTTATTGAGCTTGGTCAGCGTGGACTTCACTTCTGCGAGACGGTTTAGAGATGGCATCATACATCTAACTTGTCAGTTTAGGTCTGCTACCCCAATTCCGGCCCTATTTGTTTCCGGTAAGTCGAGATAGAGGTCTTGGCTTTTAAATAGCTTTATCTAGGTGCTGATGCCCTGAGAGCTTATCATCAAGGATAACACCTAGATGTTTGACCTCTTTAGATCAGTGATGCCAGACATTCTCTGTTAAAAATCCCACGAATGGGGAAAAAATCCCTCAATTACCCACAGCTTAAAAATTTATCCCACAAAATTCCCAACGAATTTAAACATATACATGTTTCAGTAGTAAAGAAGTAAAATTCATATAAATTCATATAATAATAATAATTGGCGCTTACACATATGTGCTTCTCCTCCAATTTGTGGCGTGCACACAGGGGAGGACTGTTTTTCATGGCAGGAGGTTTGCCATTGCCTGCCGGCTTCACTTTCATTTTTTGCTCACTCACTAAGGGCCTAAACAAATTTTTTGGTGACTTTAAAATTGAAGCACATTCATGTGCTATTAACCATTTCATCAGATAATTTGTTCCGCTTTTTACATGATACACCAGTTACAACTGAAAAGATTCTTTCTTACTCAGCGCTTGAATTGGTTAACGTAAGAAAATTTTCGAAATTGTCCTTATAATTTTTAACAATTATATACCATTTCACTCCACATCACATCTACAGAAAGATTAATTACGTAAGAATGTCGAATATTCTTGAATTTGGATCAATTATGCAACAATAACTGCATCAAAAGAAAATCCCTTATTTGTTTGAAATGTCCCTTTTTTCCCTTTTAATAATTTTTGTTGCAAAATATCCCTCAAATAGGGAAATTACCCACAATCTGGCATCACTGCTTTAGATAAGTGCAACTTTTCTCCATGAATGAATGGTTCTTTTCCTGGAGAAATTGATTATGCTGGTATTCTTTGGATTTACTTTAGACGCATTATTACGGCACCATTTGGCGACTACGTTCAGAGCATTCTTATGAGGTTGGACACAGTGTCTGCTAACCTACCTAGTGATATGTCGTGTACGTTGAAGTGTAGAATAGAAATAATGGTATCAAATAAAAGAGAAAATTCGTCTGAATGGAGGAAGGTTACAGTTTTTGGTGCACAAAGACGAAAAGGTGTATTGAAAATGTGTTTTTAAAATTTCAACTTTGAATATCCTCGAAAATTTTAAATTTTTATTTTTGAAAAAGTTATACATTAAGGGCTGTAATAGTGCTTATCATAACTTTATGACACTCACATATTGACAAAATTCGACTATATATTTTTTATTATTATTTAATTTTAGTTACTTTTTTATAAAAGTAACTATAGTTTATTCTTTAACAAAAATCGTATAAATACAAGTTTCAGTGTTTGTGGAATATTAAAAGCAATATCAAAAGGTTTCGTAAAAGTGTCAAGAACTTTAAATAGATTTCCTAGAATGATTTTGAATATGCAGTTTTGTTGCCCATAAAATTTTATTATAATACAGTTTTTTAAAAGTGAATTTTGGATTTCTTTTGTTGACAGTGTCAGTAATTTTCTTCCATGGGAAGTGTGTTCAACAATTTGTTTCTTTATATAGAGAAAATGAGCAACACTTTAAAAAAAAATTGCCAAAAACCACATTCTCGAATCTCGTCCCTCTAACTCTTTTAGCTTAAAAAAAATCCTGTTCATCCTTATGAGAAAAAAATTAAGTTTGCTAAATTTGGAGAATTTTTTTCATTTGGTACTCATGTCGGCATTCTGCACTACACTGAATTTTTTAAAAATTTTTTTTAAGTTACTCATATCCTTTAAATTCCAAAGCCCTTGTAAAAAATCCTGACGTCAGGACGAAAAACTAAAAACGCAGTTTTTTTTTTTATATTTGGCGCCTTCGTGAGTGTATTGATTGCTTCATATGCTTTGAAATGTTTTCGTTTTTGTCGCACGGTGTTATTATAAAAAAAGGAAATTGCTGCGTATTCTTGTGTTCTGTGTAGTTAGAATGTCACAGCGCGCCCACTTGTCGTTTGTTTGTCGCCACACTTAACTCTTTTCACGTCACGCCACGCCACGCCACGCTTAGCAGCAGTTGTTCCCGCTGATATTTTTTTTTGGGCTGATTATTTTTGCGGCAAATTTATATCATTTAATATAGATTTCTGTAAATTTTTTGTTGTTTTAAATTCAGCTTGTTTTCATTATTGACAAGCCATGTTGTAAAATTCGCATTTAATGTTGTTGTTTGTTGTTTGTCGTTTTCTTTTTTCTTTTTTTTTTTTTTGAAGTTTAATTTTCATTAGTGACACTATATAGCGTTGCTGTTGTTTTTCGGTGTGTGTGTTGTTGTTGTTTGTAGTTTTTGCTGTTGCTTGATATATGTGCACTTCATTTTACAGCCATTAATAATATTTCTTTGACATGCGAAATTGTTGTAGTTGTCATGGTTCGACATAGTAACAGCTGTATTGTCGTTGTTGCTGTTGCTGTTGCTTTTATTGCCTAGCATTTTGCACTCATTCTTGGTCAGCTTGTCATTTACAAGTTGATTTCTTTTCGCGCTTATTGCCTTGCATTTGTTGTTGTTGTTTGTATTGTTAGTTAATAAAAATTCGAATTTCTGTCGTGCGCGTCTCTCGCGCCGACATGACAGATTGCATTTGTACGCCATGCATGCATGCAACCCATGTGGAAGAATTATAGCAGTGCAGCGACAACAGCAACAACAACAGCCCAAGTGTCTAAAACAACAACTAAATAGCATTACATGCTTGTAAGCGTAACATGAAAGCATTTGCCACAGCCTCACACCTTGCAGCCGTCAAACCCTGGCGTACACTGGCAACGAACGGTGCGGTGCGCAAAGTGCTTGCAACCAAGTCATGGCCAATATGGGCAAAGTGTGGCAGGTTGCTTGATAATAATGGCTGAGCAGTTAGAAG